TGCACAGCCAATGCCCCACTCGTGTGGTGACCAGGCTTCGGGCAAGCACGGCTCTCTGCGACGAAGCTATAAACTGGAAGTAGCTGGACTCACGCGAGGCAGTCCAAAGAGCGGTCACAAAGTCTCTGCACCTCATTCTGTAAAACAGGACCTGAGGCCCTGGCTGAAAATGAGACACTCAGTGCACCATTCACTCACTCATTCAGACCTACGTGTGATGCCCTACGGCTCCTACCATCTCCGAGCCTGCGTGGGAAGAGAAGCCCAAGAAACAGCCACAGCGCAGTGCTCTGAGTGTCACGGATGGAGAACAGCGGCGACTGCCGCATGGACACAGAGGTGAGAGATGATGACATCTAGGGTGGGCCTCCAACAATGAGGAAGAGCTCACCAAACAGGGACGGGAGCGGAGCTATAAAAGCAGACACATGACTGGAAGTGACCAGGCGGCAGGAGATGCAGAGAAGCAAGAGCAAACGCTGAGGAAAACTCAGACGAGGCAGGTCGGGCATGCAGCTGGTGGCGCCAAGCGCTCCCCGAGGGCGCAAGGAAGCCGCGCTTCTGTACCTGCACTACGTCAAGTGACAACTCCTGCACGAGTCACAGCCAGAGCGCTGCTGCTGGCTGGCAAAAAGCAGACTGCAGGAGGCTGGGAAGGAAATGGGGGGTGAAAAATAGAGGCAGAAAACAGAATGCTCTTTAAAATTTAGAAGTAAAGATAAGGAAAAGTTGAGACTGTAAATGTGAACAACGTGGCGAGATTTAGGGCTGCTTTTAAGGAAACGAGAAGGATTTCTCAACCCACAGAAGATCTAAAGGGGCCATTAGTGTAGCAGCTCTAGGCAGGAATGTAGACACCGGGAGGCAGTGTGAACAGAGAAAGCAGACGTAAAGCACCTGAAGCAAATGGATAAATAAATCGTGGCCCGCCCACGCAACAAAATATGACTCAGCCACAAAAAGGAACGAAGCACTGACACGCTACAATGTGGGGTGGGGAGACCCCAAAAAATATGATGCTGAGAGAGGCCGGACACAAAAGGCCACATACTGTATGATCCCACTGATATGAAATGTCCAAACGGTCAAAGCCATAGAGACAAAAACTAGATGAGCGGCTGCCGGGGCTAGGGTGAGGGCACAGGGAGTGGCAGAGTGGGTACGGGGTTTCCTTTCGAGGCGATAAGGAATAAGCCATAGAGACAAAAACTAGATGAGCGGCTGCCAGGGGCTCTGGTGAGGGCACAGGGAGTGGCACAGTGGGTACGGGGTTCCCTTTTGAGGTGATAAAGAGGAGAATGAGGTGATGGTTGTAAAACACTGTGAATGTACCAAATGCCACTGAGTTGTACACTGTAAATGGTTAAAACAGTAAATTGTTACGTATGTTTTAACGCACACACGCAAGCAATGTGAAACAGCAGGAAACAAGGCAGGCCATCGGGCAGGAAACAATGTGAGAGTGACTAGTCAATAGCAATTATAGCGACAATCTTCCTAATAGTCAGTCATCAAAAAAAGATAAATGATGTTAACTATCAGGATGAACCACATGAAACTGTGGAACAATAGCAATTGCGTATGGTTCGACCTAATCTACTCTCTTTTAAGAGACAAGCACTCCATGTGACATGTTATAAAGATTTCTGTCACTGTGGATGCCAGATAAATCAAGCCCTTCTTTATCTCACAATGCTAACTGATCCTGGTTGTCGCTCCCCTCCCCGCCTTAAGATGAAACATCCCACTTGGGAAAGGTGACTTGAAGAAATTCTCGCTGGCAAGGAGGATGCCCGGTAGGGAGCAGATAACGAGTGGCACACGCACGGAGGTTCTGCCTCTGGCTTTGCCAGCTGCGCTCTAGGGGACTAAAGCAAACAGGTGCTCCTCTCGATCGATACACTGCTGCTCCACAGGGGCGCGTGATGCCCACCTGTCAATCAAGTGAAATGAGGGTCTCTAATGAAGCAGGGAACTATTATCATTCCACACCTTCGGCCGACAGGCCCTGCTCATCACCAGCCCTCTTAGTTTCAGAGTTTCCTACATTACCGTTTTAAGGTGATAAGAAAAGAAAATGTTTGAACCCATGGAGGGAAAAAAAGAATATTCTACAAAACTACTGTCACAGAGAGACAGGGACTCCTTTATTTCAACAAATAACCTCACTTCCAAATGACAAACAGGAAATGAAACAGCCCTCATCATGCAGGAGGCATCTCAAGAAGTACAAGTCTTTGGCCAATAATCCCAGTGAGAATCTTAAGATGCAGAACAGATTCTGGCATGTCTTGGGTTTTCTATGCAAAATAAATATTTGAGGCAGAAAAAATATATACCAGTAGAATCGAGAGTGCATTTTAGAACACTGTTTGACCCCACCCTCCCCAGCCCCAGCTCGCAGGTATTTTTTTTTTTTATCTTAATGACAATAAGTAGTAGAAATCGGTTTGATGCTCAGTATAGGGGAGTACAGGGAAACTGGCTTCTGAGTCAGTCCGACGCGAGTTCGGACTTTAGCTCCGCCACCTCAGCTCTCTCCTGAGTAAAACATGGCCTAGCTGTGTCCTTCGAAAGTTACTTCACTTTTGAGCCTCAGCTTCCTTGTCTACAAAATCACCTCACTGTCCCAAGGTGTGCTGTGATGACTCTGTGAAACATGGCATGGCAATCGGCAAACAGAATGGCTTGAGAATTACTACTAAATAAGAGACTCCGGGTGGAATTCTGGACCCAGGTCAGTATTCGCCCCATGTCAATCGTTGCGGTATTAATCTTTAGAATGAAACACTAAATATTTCTATACTACTACAATTAAAAGTCTTTCTTTTTTTAAAAAATAGGGTTTCTGTCGAACACCAGCTCTGTAGTGTATTTCTGAGCATGACTGACCGATACTTTGACTAGATTATAAAAAGTAACAAAGTGAAACTTCATTATTTCACCTAAGCGAGCAGCGATTCCTGGAGATTATCGGTAAGAATGCAGCCGCTGAATTAATCAATCTTCTTTAGTCTAAGGCTGCTTCTCAGGAATGTTAAATGGGTGCTTCTCTGCACACTTCTGAAATTATATATGTGTCAAAGGAAGGATTACCTATAATCTTTCTTGGTAATCAATAACATTAGCGATCGCTGGCATCGAAGCCTAGTTCGCTTTCATTCCAGCCCGCTCGTCCTTCTCTCCTGAGTAAAACACAGGAAACGGCAAAGGGCAGAACAATCCCACTCTTCAGAGAGAAGTTATTTTCTCAGTTGCTCCTTGCAGATGCCGCTTCCTAATGCCCTTTACGTCACCGATTTTCAGACTCTTAACCACAGAACCTTTTCAAAAGGAAGGTAATTCCAATCACGATATGTAAAAGAGAAAGAGCTGGAGCGGGGACAGTGAGCCCTGAAAACCTCTGCCCACGCACTGTGATGTCTCTTTCCGAGTCCTTTCTGGTTCTGAATGACGGAAACAAAAACGGAATCAATGGCCCAGTGAGGGTCACAGCAGGAGATGAGAGGGTGACATCTGTGTGTCCCTCCCACCTATGGAATCCACTCTCTCTGCCAGAGAAGTTCAACAAAATGAGATCAAAGATGGGAACAGACTCAGCACCAAGACACCAAGACGAGACCCTTCCCTTGCGAGGCCTTACAGACACTGCACTTAGATTACCCGGTGTTCCAGGCACTCTGGTTTGTGCCCCGGGTGGGGGCCTCATCTGGTTAAAGGGCTCCCACTCTTCATGAACTCCAATTTCTCACATGCTGATCAAAGGAGAGGGCAGCGACCCTGTTCAGCCAACTCACTCCAGTTTTTTTCCTGGCCCAAATCAGAAGAGGCAAACATGTCTTGATACTACTCGCTGAAAGAGGCTGAGCAAAGTACTATCTTCTTTGTGTCTGTTTCCTCTTTGACAAATAGGGATGATGATAATGCCACCTCCTAGAATTATTGTAAAGATTAATTTATTTGTGCCTGTCACACAGTAGGACCCAATGGATGTGAGAGACTATCACCAATGGCATCATCGTCATCCCGGGATCTAGGGAGATGGGGCATCTCTTGTGTGAAGTAAGAGAACTGTGAAAAGCTGTAAGAAAGCCTTTGAAGTCTGATACTAACTCTCCAAATCATCTCTTGCCCTGACTGCGTTCTCTATACAATCATCCCAAACTGCTCCATCCCAAGTGAGAATTTACGTTTGCAAAGTATGCTGGGGGGAAAATTTTTTCCCTTGACATACAAAGCTGGAATTAATAACTACAGAGCAAAATTTTCTTAAGAATGTAATTCTGAGCTTCTGCTAGGAGATCAGATGTGACTAACAATCTAGCACTTTAACTGTTAAAGAATAAAAAGCAGACTGTAGCATTCTTTAAAATCAGTTTTGTTTTGGTGTTTAATAAACTTGTCAGAAAGCTTTGTGACTTAAATACAGAAGCAAATGGGCTATGGCTAGCATTCATTCCAGGTGTAACACACATTTCAAATATCGGTACACATGAGTGCACCATATGTACACAGTTCCACTAGGAAATGTTTCTAAAAATTTAAAGAAAAGCAGAGTTCTATTTAAAAACAGCTGCCAACCCTCACACCAAATCCATAATTTTTGGAGTCTGTTTCCTTAAAACCAATTTTGAGAGAAGAAAAAAAAAAGTCAAGAGAAAATCATTTTAAAATCCAAGCAGTAGTAGGAAGATTTTTTTCCCTTTCTATTTAAATGCATTGCTATAAGATCATCTAATAAAGATCTTAATTTCTACTTGCTTGTGAGTTCCTAGTGTTTTTTAAAGGTCCTGTCGACTCACTCGGACCCCAAGCCCAATAGCAGTGTGCTTGGAAACCAGAAGACACAACACAGGTATCTGACGTGAAATCCCATTTGGAAAGACCCGGCCACACCGGGCTCATCTCTGAGCTGCCTCCCCTCCAGGCAGCGCCCTGCCGGCAGCAGACTTCAG